TAAATCATGTATTTATTCAAGAAACCGATATATATGATTGAATAGAAATTAAAATCGTTGTTTATCTATCATATAATTATGAATCAAAATAAAAAATATACATATACATAACTCTAATCCTAAATGAATAGATTTGAGAAAGAAACCATACCTTAATTCATACTTAATTGATCATAATGCATTTTGATACGATTTTTATGCATTAATCTTTCAAAATCTCACCATTTTTTGCTCTCCCAACTTCTATTGGCTTCATATGTTTGAAAAATTGCTTAAACAACCCTAAAACACGTCAAAAATTATTCAAACGACATAGATATGATCAAGCAGAATCGCGTACTCACGTTCAAACGGGTTTTGCTCCTAGTATCTCATATTCTGTTTGGTGAAAATCCATCAGGTCTGTCTTGCATTCAAAAAACATGGTGCGTTCGAACAGACTCCAAGATAATGTAACCTATCATAATTTTTCAAGCCCATTTTGACCTAGTTAGAAGTTAATTTATGAATTTTTTATGAAATAAACTTTTGTAGTTTTTAAAGTCTACTAATTGTAATACTGTAAGAATTAGGTCAATCGAACATTAGGGTAAAAATTTATGACCTACGCACTGAATAGTATCAAATTCTTTACAAACCAAATTTTTTCCAGCGTTTCAACTCCAAAACACCTAATATCACCTATCCCAATGTTTTTTTAATGCTCTGAATCCCTTTTTTTTAATGTTATTTTTAGCTAATTATGTTTAGAATGTCACTAAGTCAATTCCTCTAAAAGATTATTACCCCGAAACTTTAATTTGTTTACACCTCAACAGCTCTTACAATAAAGATTTAACAATCACATATTAATCAAAACTCCACAATACATAATAATCTAATATATTAAAATAAACACATTGGGGCATACAATTAGATTCTAATTGTTTACTTGGGCCTGAGTATTAGGCCATTACACTTTTAGTCCCTCATCGATGTGACACCCATTATCGTGAAGAGTAATATTACTTGTACTTAATTTACTGATTTAATACATCATAATCATTAGAGTGATAATGAGTTCTAGTACTTTTGAGATCTTCTACCAATACAAGAATTATGATGCATTAGGTTAGCTAGGTTAATAAATTAAGTTTAGATAATATTATTGTACTAGTTATTACTTCTGCCTGAAGGCATATAATAATAAAAAAAATGGTCAACAATAAATATATTTATATTCACACCCAAAATCAAATTACAAACACAGAGCAAAAAAAAAATTTAAGTACTAGTTATAGTGGGGGTGAACGATGAAAGTGGTGGCGGTGGAAGACAGTAATGGTTATGGTAGGTGGCGATCACTGTGGTGATGATGACAGTCATGGATGTCAATGATGATACTAGTTGTGGATTTTTGGTGATAATGGTGGTAGTGACAATAATGAGTGACAACAATAATGGTTGTGGACGACGATGATGACGATTGGCAGTGGTGGTGGGCAGTGATGACAGAGGTAGTGGGCGACGACAGGTGCTTTTGGACGACAGTGTGATGCGTACTAGTAATTAGTGGGGGTGGTGGTGGGGGTGGTGGGTGACAGTGGTGACCGATGACGATTGGTGGTGGTAGTTGATGGTGGTAAGTTTGATGGGGAGTGGGTGACATTGATTGACGGCGTGGTGGGCAATGATGGGTGGTGGTGGGTTGTGATAGTATGTGGTGATGGGTGGTGGTGAGCAACAATGGTAGTGGTAGGTGTTGACGATGGACAATGATGATAATGGTAATAAATATAAGAATAAGATAAAAATTGTGGTGGATTGTAACGGTGGATGACAGTAATAACAATCGGTGATGGATGGTAATGGTGGTGGAATGGCAACAGGGGTGGTGGTGGTGGCAGTGGTGGGATGGCGATAGTAGTGGTGGTGGCGGCAATAGTGACAGCAATGACGGTGATGGTGGGATGACAGTAGTGGTGGTAGCAACGGCAGCGCGGAGGGAGTGGTTGTTGTGACAGAGGTGATGATGGGGTGGTAGCGGCGGTGGTAGTGGTGATGGTGGTGGGGGTGCTAGCGATGGAGCGGTTCCAAATACTATTTTTTTTAAAAATATTCATAAGTAATTATAAGTTCTAGAAATACTTTCAAAAATTCACTACAAATACACCTTTAGATACTTATTTACTAAATTTGAGGGGTTAATATTAGCATTCAAATTAACTTTAGAGTAAAATTTAAAGAGATCTAAACTGCAAAAAATAAAAGTCATTTTGTTTATCTTTTGAGATTTAAATTGTATTGTACTTTATTATATAAATTCTAGGCCTATATTCATGTCTAAATTGGATCAAAAGTCATGTTTAATCAAATTCAATTGGTGTTATGAAAAATGACACGTGGGATGCTAAATAAAGGGCATTCGTTAATGCTTTTTTTTTTTTTTGTATACGTTAATGAAAATAATTGCAGCTTTTATCCATATATGTATCAATTTTGTCAAATTTACTCTTTGATCCTTTCTTGCATCTTAGCTTGTAAACCACCTCCAATATAATATTAGAATCCACCGTGGTATAATCACATCTAAAACATTATCACTTGGAATCAGGGTTACATAGAAAATGAGGTATATGGTTGGTTCATATGGTTTAACTAGGTGGGAAGGGCCAACTCTAGATTCGAGGTCCCACGTTCGAGTCTACTTCCTCTTATTGGCAATCAGTCAATGACACTTTTTTTGATCTCTAAGTTGATCAATACATCTATTCAATGGGATCCTACAATCAAGGTGTAGGTGGAGTGTTGTTAATCTCTCATAAGTGTTTTTGTTGTGCAAGAAAAAGTACACAATACAAGCAGGATGAGATTTTGTGCTAGATAAATTATTCAAACTGTCATCAAGGTTTATATATCTACACTTCGCTCCTCGAGGTTTGAGAAACTATAGCGGATACCAAAACCTATCAAGACCTAAGTAGAATCCAACTTTTCCCTTTGTTTATTATTCATCCCCTCCCCCCCCCCCAACCCAAACATCGTATTATGCCTATCCCACCCTTTTCATTGCCTATCTCACCAAATGAATTGACTTTTATTGATAAACAAATATAACATAAAAGCAGCCAAAACCAATGTTATACCCATAGTCATTAACCACCATGATAGACACATAGCAATTAACCACCATGATAGACATAACACACGGCATCGATGGCACAATCCACTTCTCAACTATTGACATAGAACTAACAAAGTGTAGATACATACCATGAGCAATGATAAAAGAATCATGAGTTCATGTTTTGCTTTCTTATTGTTTACAGAATTTCATCTATACAATGCAAGGTACTCGGAAGATGTCAAAAGAAAAAATCATCTAAACATAACTGCGACTAATATAACCTTCTAATTTCAATTTGTGATTCATTCAAATGACAATTGCCTACCATAAAACATTTTCCTCATAATAAATATGGAATTGTTGTACATAAGTTAGACATAAAAAATCACACTTACCATAGAATTTCAAATGCAAACAATTCAATTGACATACTTACTTCATTTCCATAACCCTCCGCATTGATGACCGCCACTTAATCTCCAAAAAATTTAGTTGAAATGGGTTATTGACTTAACTGCACATCACCTAAATCTATCAATTTCATTAAGGCTACTCATTCAACTAAAATTCACAATCCACACAAAAAATAAACTAAAATTCATATTCAAAACTAAAAATAAGATGTATATCACTAATACAAATAAAATACTCAATAGATCAAGCCAAAAATCTCACTTCAAACCACCAAGGTGAAGTAGTTGTATAACCCCAGACTGAATCTTAGTATTGAAGAGAGAAACTTGTATTTATGAGAGAACCATAAATTTAAAAGAGCAAATATAAAAACACAGTCATTCACATAATTATAAAAAAATTTCCACCAAGTACGTTGCCTAGTTCTCAGGCATTTCAACAAACATGAAAAATTAATAGTGCAAAGCATGAAGAACGTGAAAACAATTAACAATGTTATTACATGAAAAACATTCAATTTAGTCATCAAACATGAAAACAATTAACAGAGTCAGTACACTCAATTTAATCTGAGATAAAACAATTATGCAAAACTAACATTGTTAGTACTGTCAATGAGATATCTAAATGTCCAAACATTAATCAATTAATATCTAAATTGTGTATTTTACCTTGTTAAATAAAATTCACAACAGTAACATTACCAAAGCTATGATGACAGTAAAAGGTCAAAGCTAAATTGCATATAATAACCCTAAAATACATTCAATCAAAACCCTAGAAATATCTTTCATTAAAAACCCAAGTTATAATTGTACAAACCCTAATCCATAAAAAAACACAATTTGAAAACCCTAACATCCAATTTCAAAACCATAACATTCAATCAAATACCACTAATAACTATTAACATTTAATTAAAATATGACTAGCAACTATAACATTCAATAAAAACCCTACAAGTTCTTATGGTATATTTATTGTTTCCATGATACTTTAAGTGGCTTTGTGTAGTTTTACAATTCTTAGTCAATGCCATGTAATATATGAGACCAATGGCACTATATATCTTAAAACATTTTCTCATTCTTAACATACACTATAGAAAATTAAAATTTTCATATTACACTCTTAATTAAACAAAAAAATACCAATATACTTGAGTACAAAAAAAAAATTAAAATCAAGTATTATAGAACAATTGTATATAGACATAAAACAATATGACAAATATAACAAAAAAAAATATAACAGAAAAAGTAACTAATATTTAGTTTTGGACTTTATTACTACTAATTGAATTTTAATCTTTTAGGTATAAATTTAATTTAAAAAAATTTTAGGGTGTGAAATATCATTCACATAGTTTTGCAATTTTTTCGTTTTTTATTTACAGTTTACGCCCAACTTTCCCAATTCCTCTCAATTTGAACATAATCCCTACCCATCGGGCGGGAAAATTCAGTCTCGAGTGTTTATCCATTTCCTCTAGAGAGAGAAACTAGAGAGCATTCCACCACTCCGTAAAAATGCGCCACGCCGGACGACGCCGTCCAAAGGACTCCATCGCCTCCGACCGCAAACCCCCGCCACCCACTCCCACCACCGCCGACCCATGGCAGTACACGACCGCCGCCATCGGCCGCGACTCCGATGCAAGCTTCGCCAGCAGCCGCCCCTCCTCCTCCTCGATTGGCCTCAACCCTCGCTCCTCCACCCTCCCCATCACCGACAAGTCTTCCCAACTGGGCGTCATCAGAACCGTCAATAACTACCTCTCCTCTCACTCCATCCCCACCGTCCTCAGACCTCCTCTTCCCTCCGCCAAAGACATTACCGAAACCCTCAAATTCATCCTATCTCGTCTCGACTTTGCGCCTTCAAATAAACTTGAGGAAGATCTCAATGTGACCCTAAAGTTCCTTAATTGCCCCATCAAACTCAACAAATCTGCTCTTCGCGCCCCTGGTACCCCTCACTATTGGCCCACCATCCTGGCTGTGATTCACTGGTTAGTCCAGATTGCGATGTATAACGAGCATTTGTGTAATTCGACACAAACTCGGTCGGTTTTTGAAGATAATAGTATGTTTAGCTACGCGTGGAATAGTTATTTGGCCTATATTAGAGGGGATGATGATTCGGTGGATGCGTTGGATGGGGAGTTTTTGGAGAAATTGCAGCAGGAGAGGGATGTAATGGATGAGGGAGTGAAGAGTTTGGAAGGAAATGTGAGGGATTTGGAGGTCAAATTGGAGAATTTGAGGTCGGGGCCAACGGAGAGGGAGAAGTTTGAGAAGGAGAAGAGTGTGTTGGAGGAGGATGTGAAGAAATTTCATGCGATGATTGAGCAATTGGATGGGCATATTGCTTCGGTGGAGAAGATGTTGGAGGGGAAAGAGAAAGAGTTGGAGGCCAAGGTTGGGGAGAGGCAGAGGATAGTGGAGGAGAATGAGGAGTTGAAGAGGAGGGTGGAGGAGCAGGGGATTAATTCTAGGGATGCAGAGAGGATGAAGAGGGAGTTGCAAGCAGTTGAGAGGGATATCGGGGAGGCTGAGGTGGCGAGGAATGCGTGGGAGGAGAAAGCTTGGGATATTGATGCGGTGATTGGCCACAAGTTTAAGGAGCTTGAGGGTCTTTTGATTGAGTGCAACCAAGCTATCAGGAGGTTATATTTTATGCTCCTTGTTCTTTTTTTGTCTGTTCGTATGTGTATTAGTATTGGTTGAAATTATTTGATGACTTCTCATTGTCGTCAATTGGGTTAGTATAGATCAGCTATAGTTGTGATTGATATGCATATAGACACCAAAAATCGGAATTGTTATATTTAGTTTCTCTAGTTGTTGCTGACATTTTTATCTTTGCCCGAGGCGCAGGTGTGATAAATTTTGTTTTGCTTGGTAGAACATTGACAGAATAACACTCCATCCATGACTGCAGCATGAATAATAAGTGTTTTTTTATGAGGAAAAATAGTTGTGGTTAGTGATGAAGCTATTTGAGGGTCATTTTTATATTACTCAATCCCCTAATTGCAATGAAGTTCTCAACCTTGAGTTGTACTCTTCATACCAATGGAGAGTTTGAACTGACCATTGTGATGAAGTTCGTAACAATATTTTTCTTACCACTGTTGTGTTGATCTCACCTTGTATGACACTCGATTTAATCTTTGACACTATTGATTTCCATTTTGAGATGTCTAGGTTAAAGCTTGGAAATGGTTTCCAGTATGGGTTGAATGCCAAAGGTTCCACACCTGCTGAGGTGCTGAGAATAGACTACAAATCAACACTAAAGCCTGCACTTGCCTCCTTTGCTGATGACATAAAGAAAAGCTCAATGGCAAAGCTGGAAGAGTTGATATCTCTTCAGCAACAGTCGGTTGAAAATGCTGTTAAGATTGAGGCCAAACGGAATCGTATTGCAGCCCTTCAATCCCATATCGAAGAAGTAAGTTCAGTGCTAGTGGCTCTTTAACTAATCATACTAGCTTGTAGTATAATAGAAAATGAAATTGGTGCACATTGTTATTTCTTCTACATTTTATTTTGATGGCATATACTTGACACAAAATTAGTACTTGACTTTCTTAACTGACCTTGGTCTTAAAAAGGAAGAAGTATAAGAACATGAAATTTAAAAAAAAAAAGGGCAAAAAGAGGTGAATGATATGTTCCACTGGCCATAAATTCCTCTGTGACCTATAGACATGGTCAGCTGACATGATGAATGATAGCTTCCACTTGCCCTAAATTTCTCAGTGACCCATATCCAGGGTCAGAGGACATGCAGATGCATCAGGTTCTCAGTGAATTTGTGTTACTGAAAGAGGGCTGAAATATGTGTGCATATTGATTATATACACTTGGCATATTAATAAATAGTTCCTTTTCACCCTTCCTGATAGTCAAAGCTTCACTTCAGCAATGATTTTTTGGAAGTTTTTGTAGTGCGTACCAAAATTTTAAGTTCTTATTGTTATGCGGTATTTCGACACTTCTCGGAAGAAGAAACTTCCAATGGTAAGCTTTAGTGCTCTGTTCACTGCAATCACAAAAGACATACTGGTTGGAAATTGGAATCCTGTTGTCAACCTATTTGTGTTAATTGTTTTCTTGAATTGTTATGACTTCAGTACAGGGGAGAGTTTTGGTAATTCAACCATTTTATTTTTTTTAGGACTCGAAATTTAATCTTTTAGTTAGGACTTAGGAGATCTGAAACAATCAAATTCATTGTCTCGTTGATCGGTTGGGATTTGAAATGGAATGGGTGATGGGAGAATTGTGTTCTTCTGTAGAATGCAAAGTTCTTCCAACCAAAACAGATTGGAGGATTACCAACTACCAAGTGACTGATATTTATGGTAGTACCACATTCATACGCTGTACCCTATCTGAGAGGCAATAATTTATGTCTTTTGACGATGTGTGAAAGGGTTTATTAGGCAATTGCTGCTGATTGTTACATTTTTATTTTTATTTTTGTTGGGGAGGGGGAGAGGGGGAGGGAGACCTGAACCCTTGACCGCCTTTATAAGACAAGGAGTATCATTGGACCAAAGTAAGAGTTCTTTACATAAGAGTTCTTTAAATGGCAGAATAAAAACTATGGGAAATTGATAGTTGGAAGGTGACATTTGGTCACTACAAGGAGATAGGACATGCAAGTCTAAATTAAAGCTATTAACACACTATGGTTTATAGACTGCAAATGGGAGTTAGGTTTGGAAAGAAAATGTAAAAACAAAACTAGCATGCTTTGGGCCAGAATTAGGGTTGTAAATCAGCCAAGTTGAGTCTGGTAGTTCGCTCAAGCTTGGCTTGAAATTTAAACGAGCTTTGAATATAGTTCAAGCCCAAACTAACCTTTTTCGGTCGACTTCAAGAAGGTTGACTGGTTATATTGTTTTTCGACCTAATTGGCGTGTCAACCACCCGAATTCAAGCCAAGTCAAAAAAATCAATGATGTTAAAAATATGCTTATGCTTGGCTCGTGTATCACATGAGCTGATCTGGAACGAGTTTTCATGGATCAATTTTGAGTCAAGCCCGAGTTGTTCGTTTCATTTTACTTCACCACCCAGAACGGGTTTCTATCCAAAATCTCGATCTTCCGTATTTAATGAAATGTATGAAATCTCTTTAAACTGCAATAAAATGAACAGCTAAACCGCTTGTGTTATTGGAATTTCTGTTCTCATATGTAAGGCATTTAGAATGGGTCCTGAAGCTTAAATTATTGGGTTGCACACTTTAAATGTCTATATGTTTTTTATTTCTATTACATGTTCAGTGGATTGATTTTCAGAAAAAGTGGATAAAAAAGGAATCTTTTTTGAAGTATAGGTTGCCTGATGTTAATCTTTAACTTCATTGCATTGCCGATCATTTTGTCAGGTGGAAGCTCAATTGAACTTAATGAGGAAGGAGACACAGGACTATGCTTCCAGATGCGTAATAGAAGCTAGAAAGTTGGTAGAAGATAGTGAAGCAGAAACTCGTAACATGGATGTTGTTGAAAGAGAAGCGGCAGAGTTTTTGAAGGTATGGCCTTGGTCCTGTCTCTTTGCTCAAACAGTTATAAATTGAGAGGCGATGAGTATGTCGATGTCCAAGGAGATGTTCTGATTGGAATATAAAAAAGTGGGGAATTTCTTCCTTTTGAGAATATTGTTTCCAATGTTAAGGCAATTGTCTTTTGATTGGAGCTACAATGCTTGTCACATTCTCATGAACTTTTGTTTTTTGGTGTAAGGCATCCAAACTGAAGTTGCAGGAAACAACTACACAGACAGAGGAAGAAGTTCAGGCATGCGCTCGTGAACTTCTTGCGCTGATTGATTCGGTTTCAAAATTCAAAGAGTATGTGGAGTCAAAAATCTCAGAGATGAAGAATGCTCTTTCAGAAACAGCTGGTGCTGTATCTAATGTTCAAAGGGAGTCTTTGCCTGCACAGTTTGGTTTTGATTTTGCCGCAAGCCGCTGAATCAAAGTCTTGTTGTACATTAGTTGGTACAACCTGTGAATTGTTTGTCTTTTCTTTTGCCTGAGGGTGTATTTATTTTTGATTAATCAGAAATATATGTTTCCGTGTAATGGACGATTAAACTTGATAGAAATTGACAAAATAACATTGAGTCATGTTTCAACAAGATTTACCATCGTTGGTATATACATCCATAGGAAGTTTAGAATTACAATGGCTGTCATGTCCTCTCAAGTACAATGATTATAAGACCATCTATCCTAGAAGTACTAAGGCCAACCATGACTCAATTTTTGGGGGTTTTGAGACTTTGAGATACACAATGAGAGTGAACTCGAGTTTTCACTTATTCGTTCGTTAAAATAGTGAAGTGGTTTCGTAATTAAAAAGATCTTATATCAATTCAAATTTGTGGTTATATTCTCTTTTATTGCGATTTGAATTACTCCATAAATGGGTATTAACACGAACTCTTTGATGTTTTAAGTCTCCTTTGAATTTAATATTGGTGTGTAGTATTACTAGCAATAAACTCGTGTGTTGCATTAGATATAGATCCACCTTATCCTAGCATCTCTATCCTTTCCCCGCGTCTCACTTGGTTAATTTGCTTGGCGGTGATAAAAAAAAGAACAAATTCGGAGTATGAGATACTAAAAGATTTAATTGAGAAACTGAAGAAAAGTGGGAAGTTGTAGAGTGGTTATACTACTAGAATATGAAAGAATTTGATTGTGGTAAAGTTTGATAAAAGTTTAAAAATAAAATAATTAATTATTTATGGAAGAAAGGCTTCCCAAACTCTTCACCCGCAATTTGATTCCTTTACATAATAGATAGATATATACAAAGGAGACAACCAATAGAGGCATACCTTATTCATGTATGGTCATAGCCTTATACAAACCTATTGAGTTAGTTGTATGTATCAAAATTTTGAAATGTTTCATACGAAACATCTAACATGTGTTTAAATTTTATCTAGATGAAATAGAATTTAAAATTGCAAAGCTTCACTCGAAAATGTAAATGGTTCTTGCCATTTTTAAATAAATGAGAATGACACACTCAACATTTCACTTAAGGCAAAGTAATATTCTTTTGTGAGAGAAAAGCTATAAGGATTTTTATAATTGAAATACTTTTGTGAGTCACATGAATCCAATTGGTTGAGGTTGAGGTTGAGGTCTATGTTGCCAATTGACATTGAGCTTACTTGAAGAATGGATTGAAGATCAATGGAGATGTTCAAGCTAAACTCATGATAATCATACACCTGTTTGGTTTGGTAAGTAGATGTAGATACCTATACACATTATACTTATTTTCAAAATGTAAGTTAATAATTTAAGAATTTTATAGGGTGCAAAGTGTCATTTGTCCTAAAAAATAATAAACATGGCCAAGGGGAGTACTGCAAGTAGCAAATGCAAGCAAGTTAAGCAACAAAAGGAAATAGGGTTCAAAGCAAAACACCAAAAGCCTCGGTACACACACACACACAAAACAGAGCCTCCTCTGCTATATTCTCTATCTTTCTCTCTCTCTAAATCTCCTTGCACAGATAATCTTCTTCCCTTCCACGGCGTAATCTACGTGGTAGTGCGTTCTACGGTGTTTAGCTCTCTTCCTCTGACTCACGACTATATACATAGCGCCTCCCACTAAAGGCTTGTCACACAGTGCACATACCGTTTCTGTCTATCTCTCTACCAACAGCAATTGAAACTTTGGCTACCTCTGTCTAGAATTTCCTCCCACAGATATCCATACGCTGAATCGCACTGCTTAGAAGTAGAAAACACCAAGCGGCGAGAGCCAAACCATTAGGGTTTGGTTTTGTTCAGGCTTTGGCTTTGTTATATTGGATTATTATCAATTCCAAGGTTCAGGGTTAGTCGATTTTATCTTTCTCTTCGATTCGAGGGTTTGAATTTCTGTGTTTCCTGTACTGGGTATGAATTTTCCTTCAAGAAGTGCTCTGTTTTGGCCATCTTTAGTGGAGGGATAGGTTTATATTTTGGGTATTGACTGAAGTTCTAATTACTGAGATGAGGGTCTTCTAAGTGCGTTTTTACTGATAATTGAGGAATCTGGAAGCCCTTCTTGAGCTTGTTCTGGGGCACTGAAAGAGCATAGTAGTTTGTTTCTTCCAATTGAATGAAGTTTTTCATGTTTGACTTGGCAGTATATAGTGCATAGGGAGAATAGACCCTTGTTACCTTGTACAGGACACTTCATATTCTTTTATTCAAAGTGGTTTTTGAAGCATAAGATTTGCAAGATTAAATTCAGAACACTAGTTACTTAGTTACGTGGTTTGGTGCACGGAGAGGTTTTGGGGTAAAGAACAACTGAAATTGGATTAACTTTGTATGCACACATTTTGATTTTGTTGGTTTTATGGGGTGGATGCTGACCATTAATACGAGGAGGGAGATATTAAGCTTTAATACACGGAGGACAAGTTGCTTTTTTTCTGTTCTGTTATATACTGATCATGTTTGGTACTAGTTATGGAAAGAAGTGAGCCATCATTAGTTCCAGAATGGTTGAAAAGTGGTGGAAGTGTAACTGGTGGTGGCACTACAGCCCACCAATTTCCGTTATCTTCATTGCACCCAGGTAATTCTTATGAACTTTATTATGCAAGCTCTTTGTTTCTAATTGTATGCATTTTAACTTAAGTTTGAATTAGTGACTTGCAATGTTTTCCTTGTTAGTTGACTTGCGATATTTTTATTATAGTAGATGATCATCACACTGTATCAAAGCCTGCAAGAAATAAGTCATTAGTAACTACTAGAGATCATGATCTTGGACGTTTGGATCGTGCCACTTCCTCTTATTTCCGTCGGAGTTCCAGCAGTAATGGTTCTGCTCACTCGCGAACTTACAATAATTTTGGTCGGAGTCACCGTGATAGGGACTGGGATAAGGATATATATGGCTCTCGTGATAAAGAAAAGTTAATTTTGGGTGACCACAAGCAACGAGACTATTCTGATCCCTTAGGGAGCATTTTGCCAAGTAGGCTTGAAAAGGAGGTGTTAAGGCGTTCACAGTCGATGATCTCAGGCAAAAGTGTTGAGCCAAAAGTTGCAACTGACTCAAGCAGTGCCAATAAAAACCACCACAGCAACAGCAACAGCAACAGCCTGCTTGGTGGGGGCAGCCCCATCAGTGGTGTGAACAAGTCTGCATTTGAACGAGACTTTCCATCTCTTGGAGCCGAGGAAAGACAAGCAGCACCTGAAATAGGAAGAGTCCCATCTCCTGGCTTGATTACTGTCATTCAAAGCTTACCAATTGGTACCTCGGCCGTGATTGGCGTTGATAAGTGGACATCAGCCTTGGCAGAGGTGCCTGCAGTAGTTGGAAGTAGTGGCACCAGTGCCTCATCTGTTCAACTAGCCGGTCCTGCAAATTCATCTTGTGGGGCTTCAGGCACAACGGCTCTCAATATGGCTGAAACTTTGGCCCAGGGTGCTCCTCATGCTGAGACAACTCTGCAGGTAGCTTTATTGCTCTATTGTTTGTTCAACATAACATGAAATGTATTTTATTCTTATTTGCCGTCTTTGTTTGTTATTAGGTGTCTATTGGAACTCAGAGGCTTGAAGAGCGCGCTATTAAGCAATCTCGCCAATTAATTCCTATGACACCATCCGTGCCTAAAGCTTTGGTAAGAGTCGTTGCCTCCCTTATTTGAGGTTGTAATAGGTTTGATGCCAGGTTTTTATATTGTGGCTCAACTTGTTACAAATAATTGTTTGAGGATAGTTGTCTTTTATTTTTTCTTGTATTCTTTGTGGATTTTGTATAAACAATGCTTTTTTGGATCAGTGTTCATTTTCATTTTCCTACATTTCATAACATAGGAGTCTTAGTTAAAGTGCTCAGCCATTTTAGTTGTGTGATGAATTCTGAACAATGGATGATGCTTATCCTTCATGTCCTTTTTCTTATGTCTTTATTTTATTTTTTTACTTTTGCACATGACTTAAGACAAATTTGCTTCAGAATCTCCATGTACGTAGCTATAATGCCGTAAACATTTGACTAAAGTGATGGTATAACAATTGATTTATTCGTATTTATTGTTTTAGTTCTTATGTCTTATCAATCTTTGGATTAGTTTCTAAGATCTTTATATTTTTTTTGGGACGCTTTTCTATAGTATTTAAGGGATGGTGTAATTCCCATTTTGAGCAAATCTATTGATTTACTTGATGTTGCATATGTCCAATTTATTTAGCATTTCCTTTTGCCTGTGGTTTTATTTTGGATTGTTAAGACTTGAAAGATATTTGGCCATATGTTTGGTTGGTTGTTGGAGTTGAATATGGGATTTTTTTTATGGAGTAGATTGTAGTATGGGTTTAGGGTGAGATTGTCTTTATTACCAACATAGTTATGTTTTGCAGCTTCTGTCAACTTGGATTCACTTTATCAATTATGGAAGATGCACTTTCTTGATAAGAATCAAGGGTATAAAAAGAAGAGCATTAGCAGAGGATTTATAAAACAAAGGGAGGGTTTAAGTTATATCTCCATCTTTTTTGCACCGAGCCTTAGTATAATATACATTTTAACGTTTCGTTCCTCTCTATGTATTATATCTAATGTGGATTTATTGCAACTGGTGAGATATATTTTTAGTTAACTATAGAGCACATTTTTTGAGGAATTTTCTTCTATTTATTTATCCTCTCGTAGATTTTCTTCCAGCATTGTTAATTATATTTAGGGAAAGTTATGAAATATCTCCTTATGGTTTGATCCATAGCATATCACCTCCTTATACATTGAAAATGTACACATAACCTCCTATGGTTTTGGATCAAATTGAACCGACAATTTTTCCACACAAATTTATAGATGGTGAGAAAATGACTCATTTACCCTTATTTAGACGCCCCGTTATTCCTTAATTGGATAAAAATAATTCTTACTCGTTAATTGGATTAATTTATTCCATAAGTAAACACTCTCATCGTCAACCTCATTTCATGCAGAAGACCATTACACAAATTGACCGTAAACATCATGCAAGACAACATTGGTGATCAAGCATTTCTAAATTTTAAAATAGTTACCAAAAGTTGACTAATCAAAATTGTGTTCATCATTATACTAGAAAATCAAAGAAGTTGTATTGATGGCATGAAACAAACCCACAAAGCATTGCCCTAGGAATTTGTCTAACCCTCTCTCTCTCTCTTAATTGAAGTGCTCCCAAAGTTCTCAATTTTCCTCTCCATACCCTCAACTCTCGAACTAAAAAATTAACTTTAAATTTCAAGTTTTCCATTGTAAACAGTGGTCAGATGGTAGTGGAGATGTTGGTGGAGTCACCCACAAGCTTTGAGCCAAGAATTTGATGGAAATAAGAGGTTGGGAGGGAGATACATTGTGTCTGCAATGTGTGTGCGTATTGCACATGTGTGTGTGTTTGTTTTTTTCGATAAAAAAAACAATTTTATTGATAATCAAGAGATTAATAGAATCAAACAAGTGTGGACAAGCAAATCCGCCACAAAAATAGACAATGAAAACATAAAACATTGAACAATTACAAGCCACGCGATGCCTTCCAACTTGCCTTAATACAAAAGAAAGGGATATCTTCAAAATCCTTAGAAATTGAGGCCCAAAAAGATGACAAAAATAAATTCGATCTCATAAACCCGTAAGCTCTTCACTCTTATCCTAAAACATCCTCACATTCCTTTCTTTTCAAATCACCCAACGTATAACAAAGAGAGCACTATTCCAAATAGTCTTTCATTACTATTCCTTTCAAATCCCACATTTTCCATGCAAAACATAGAGACCATAATCCTTGGAGCTATCCAAGAAAAGCCTACAAGATCAAAAAGCTTGTTCCAAAGTGTTCATGTCAAAGGGCAATACAAAAAAAGGTGACCCAAAATGGATCTAATTGGACTTTATGCTCTGCGTTCTTCACGTCTTTTGGTCCACCACCAGATCTTGGCTAACCAACATTCTCATTTTCACTTCTACACATAATACACTATTGTGGTTGAAGGCAATGATTTGGTCCCCTCTTTTGAAGAACCTCATTAGTACTAATCTTTGCATGAGAAATTATCCATGTATAAACCTGCACCTTCACCTTCCAAATCTTTATAGATGGACCGAAAAAAGGAATTAAAGGATTATCAATTAAAGACTTGAAAAAGATTTATAAGAAAAAGCCTATGTAGAGGTATCAATCCAATATCTCCTATCCTCAAAGTTTCGAATCAAAGAAACACTATTAAGCATAGATAAGAGAATCATCAATTCTAAACATTCCCTATCATTGAGATTCCTACCAAACCCAAAATCCCAATAAATCGAATTAGAATATGATTGAACCATAGATGCACTCAATCGACTTTAATAGTTAGAGACACGATACACTTGTGGAAAAAGAGTAGAGAAAAAAACACTCCCCAACCCATATGTCCTCCCAAAAACGCACTTTAGTTCCATCACCCATAATGAACTTGACTTTCTAAGAAAAGTAAAGGAAATCCTAAAAAATGAACTTTCACAGACTTTGGAAAGTGCCCCATTACCAATTCCATTCTTGGGTTCCAACTAAGAAATCTAGTCATGCAGTTACTGAGACAAAGCAAAATTGACTTGGCAATGGAGGAGAAGAAATGAGATGGGGAGAGACACTCGTGTAATGTGCGTCTGCATATGTGTGAGAGAGATAGAGGGGTACCACTGTGTACATGAGGGCAATTTGGGTACTCAAAGTAACACCTTTGGATGAAGCATCTCTCTTCCAATCTCACATTATTATGCATGTGAGTGTGAATCACATCCCGTTGATTTGGATGAAAAAAATTAACGATTTCAAGGGGGTAATGTTTTATATGGCCAAACCACGAGGAGGTAATTTGTAATTTGCCCTTTTAATTTTTGTTGTTCTGTTGTGACTTCGAAGTGAATTTTGGGTTTGTAAGAGGGGAATTTATATTCGATAGGATTTTTCTTCCATTTGTGACCTTCTCCAATTTCTCGTGGCCACAATATTTGAGATAATAAAATTTGTGAGGACGGAGGTCATTCTTGAACAAGCAATGAAAGGCGGGAAGAGCTAACTATGAAATGCTCCATGAGAAATTATGAGGGTCTACCACTTTCTCTTTTCAGTAAAATATCTTTGGTTTTGCCTTTTTCCCTTCTTATTTCCACACGTAGAATTGTTGCCTTGTTTGATTATCTTTAACTGGATTCCAAAAATTAAGGGTTTTAAGGCATTTCCTTCTTTCCTATTATATATTGGTGGGAAACATTGGAATTGAACATTTTGAAATCTTTTCTTTAAGGTATTGGAGGGAAACTTTGGAGGTTCAAAACTTTCTCACCACATTTTAGAAGTATCGCATAATGTTTCCTAAAAAGGTGGAACCACAAAAGGGTCTCTTCTTGTGGAATAGGGTGGATAAAAAAACTGTTCCCTTTATCATATCATTTGCCCCTTCATAACACTCGCCACACCTTCAAACCCCTGCCCCCTCCCGTCTTCCTCTCCTCTTTTCCAAAGAAAGAGGAGAATTTTTTTTTGTTTACAACATGTAAATATCAATTAAGCAGTTGTAGTGATCCTCATCATTGTGTGTGTGTCTGCTTGCAGCTAAAAGCATTTTGTTCTCCAAAAATGTGGATACAGTCAAGGATAGGAATGATTGTAACTGTATGGTTTTACTTCCAGTACTTGAAAATAACTAGAAAAGGATTATTGAAGCATAAAATGTACACAAGTGAAAAATATAATAAATTAGTTGTTTTATAGACACATGCTTGTATATATGTATATTTACGGTGGTATCTCGTGTTTTGATTTTATGGAGTGGTTGTGTGAGAAAGCATATCTGTGATGACTCTTGACACGTGTTTGTATATACAGGATTGGGTTCCAACTTGTTTTCAATTTTTCTTTCTGAATAATGGTGAATTTAATGGTCACTAACTAAAGGAATGTGAAGAGAGTATGTTAATTGAAATTAGGAAGTCATATAATGGCATAGTCGAGAGTTATGGGTAGCAGATATCAAAGAATTTATTAGTCTGGTAAAACTAACTAGTGTATTCTTCCTCTTTAGCTTATATGGAGAGCCAGAGACATTGCTCTATCAAAAACTAGTTTAGAGTTGAGAACTGGGGAGTTATGCCATGCACTGTAATTGTTCTTTATTCTGGTTCCTCACCTGTCATTCGGGTAGTTACATTTAGGATTTCATGCACTTTTTAATTGAGAGCCTTTTTTCGATGGTGAAGTTCTTGGTGTTTCTTCTATGTACTAATGGGAAATTCTTTTTATTTGTTTTGTTGTGTCAAAGTTGACATTAGTTTACCGGTTGAGGACCCATATTTTAGTCATATTCCATTGTGATATTGAACAAATATTATTGCAAGCTATATTAGTTGTATTTTATTGAGAGAGATTATGAGATTCTTTTTCATGTCATTCATAGATATGGAAGAGCATAGTTGTATTTGGTTAAGGGTAGAGAGAGAGATGGGGAGGGGATGATTAAGTGGATGCTGGTGGGATGGTTGTTAGAAAGCATCAATAGTAATACAAATCTATCCTGTCGAATTTGAAATTGTAAGGGTCTAAGGAGCAAAGGGTTAATAATGTCAATGACTGGGCACAGAACAAGGCATAGACAAAGTTGTGGTGGTGGGCTGTTGAGAGAGACCAAGTGGAATGAAATTGTAATGGATAAACTATAATTTGTATTCCTTTATATAATTCAGGACACATATTTAGTCTGCTTTTTCTATACTTTTGGGGACGGGACTTTTCTTTTTGCTGTTTATGTTAAAAAAAGCTGCAAAAAAGTCAACTTTTTTTATTTGGAAAAAGGTGAAACAATATTTTGCGTTTTGTCACACTGCCTGGCTGTGGGGATGCTTTTTAAATGAAAATTTCCCAATTTCCATGCTTGTACTGTTCACCCCTTTTTTTGTTGAATTTATAGATCAGGTACATTTTTTGGATGTCAAATAGAGTAGTCTTGGTCAGGTGATATCAGATTGTAAGAAATTGATCCTCCAATTTGAAGCCTGTAGAGTGAAGAACAAGTTTCTTTCTTGGTTCCATGTATGGAATATAGATTTGTGTGTTTTTGACTGATCATTGCGAGTTTTCTTTTCAGGTGTTGAATTCTTTAGAGAAACCAAAGCCTAAAGTTGGGCAACAGCAGCATCAGACCTCATCTTCTCACCTTGTTAGTCTCTCTCCTCGTGGTGGACCTGTGAAATCTGATGTTTTAAAGACGTATAATGTGGGAAAACTTCACATTCTCAGACCAGCACGAGAGAGGAATGGTGTCTGTCCGGCAAAGGACAGCTTGAGCCCAACAAGTGGTAGCAAAATAGCAAATAGCCCACTTGCTATTGCTCCATCAGTTGTTGGATCTGCTCCATTACGGAGCCCAGGCAACAACCCAACACTTGCCATTGCAGACTGCAAGCCTGCTCTGGGAACGTTGGAGAAGAGACCAACATCTCATGTTCAGAGCCGGAATGATTTCTTCAACCTTGTGAGGCAGAAATCTATGACAAGCTCCTCTTCTGCTGTTGCTGATCCTAGCCGTGCTGTGTCACCTTCTGCCTTGGATAAGCCTGGCGAAACAGAAGCTCCATCTGCCTCTGCTATTCCTCAGAATGGAGATGCTCCATTGCCAGATAGATCTACTAGCAGCCAATCAATTAAGAGGATGAGTGAGTTGGCTTCAAATGGTTATGCTTGCAATGGGCCTCAGAAATCTCTCAACAATGGAAAAAGTCATTCTACATCGGATGCTATCATTTGTTCGGAGGAAGAAGAAGCTGCATTTTTGCGTTCTCTGGGGTGGGAGGAAAATGCTGGAGAAGACGAAGGGCTTACAGAGGAGGAGATCAAAGCTTTCTATAGGGATGTAAGTAAGGTAACTGCTTTCTGAGAACAGGAGACAACTAGGAGTTCACATATGCTTTTGTCAAATATCAATTTTTTTGTTTGACATTTTGTGGTTAATCTTATTTGGAGTTGCTTAAATACTTGAAATTATTTCCCAAATCCCAACAATATATTATCCATTTATTTTTGTGCAGCACATCAACTCGAGTTCATCTTCGAAAATTCTCCAAGGAATGCAGCCAAGGTTTTCAGTGCCACTCAACTCACAAATGGGTAGTGTTGGTGGCATTTCATCTGGGTTAAGCTCATCTGACTCTAAGCTGGAATCTTGAGTTACTAAACCTCTGACTGGGTTTCATAAGTTCTTAATTGATTTCGGGGAGGGTTCTGTTTTCACTTTTTCTTTTTATTTTTTTTGGCTGCTTGTTTCTTGATTGATAAATCTAATACTGAGAGGAAATTTTGAGGAGCCAATTGGGCATGAAAAGAAGGGGAAGTTGGGATTCTGATATCATTGCCGTTTGGTGGAAGTGAATGAGAATAAGTCACAGATGGTTGACTCCTTCCCAGAATGACTTGTGATATGATGTGCCTGGTTCTTGACAGAATAGGAATAGTTTATATAAAGCTGCTTAGGGAAATTGCTAGTGCAAAGTCTGGGTTTTTGTCCCTTTTCTTTTTTGTTTTTGGAAGTTGATTGGCTCAACAAATTGGTTATGGTTTCTTTCGTCATCTAAAGAAAAGAAAGAAATGAAAAGGTCACATTTCTCTTTACTTATTTTCTTCTATCGACTTCCATGACCTTTCTGCAAGTATCCACGTTTCTATTCTTTTTGTGTGAATGAAACCATCTCGGGCAAAACCCTAAACAACCTAAATCAAACCCATCCATATCAATGGCGAAACGAACCCTACCCATCCTCGAGCAACTATGTGCTCGATCACTTGCCCATGTCCACCCTCTTTTACGGTTAACCTCAACCAGATTGGTGACCTATATGCCCGGACGGATCTCCAAGGCCCGTTACTCTGATACCGGGCGACGGAAGGAATCGGTTCTCTGGTCACCGGTGCAGTCGAGCAGGTCATGGAGGCAATGCACGCGCCTGTATACTTCGAGAGCTACGATGTCCACGGCAACATGAAGAAAGTCCCTCAAGAACTGATCGATTCGATCCGCAAGAGCAAGGTGTGCTTGAAGGGAGGCTTGATTACTCCGGTTGGTGGTGGTGTGAGTTCGCTTTGCAAAGTACCTCCCACGCCAATCCCACCTCTACAATTTTCAATTCTTTGCAAAGTAACTACCCAAGGTCCCAAAAAAAAAAAATTATTTCATAATTTTTGATAATTGACAAAGAAAGGTTACAATGTCAAATATTAATTCTATACTAGTTCAACCCTCCCGCTAACTTTGATTAACAAGGATCAAGACTTGGTAATTGATTCATTTTAAACGTGGTAGAAATGGTGATCACACTAAAAAATGTGCCCCTGACTAGTATGATTAGTAACATGAATATCATAATGATTGTTTGAAGGGACATATTCCAATCAAAAAACGTCATATATCGATATAATAAAGTAACTTATAATTCAAATATCAAAAGATAAATAAAATGACTTTTGTTATTCACGGTTGAGATCATTTTAAATTTTACTTTAAAGTTAATCTAACGACTAATATTAACACCCTAAATTTAATAAGAAAAATAGGCCCATAAGAATGTGTTTGAAGTGACTTTTTAAAAGTACTTCTAAAATTATTTCTAATAAATACTTTTTTTTTAAAAAATAATGTTTCAAATTGCCCCACCACTACCACTACCTCGACCACCACCACCGCCGCCCACCACAACTATCACCGTCTCCTACCACCACCTCTCACCCCCACTATAAATCAATGTTTAAATTCTTTTATCTATTCTCTATGTTTGTGATTTGATTTTGAATATGCATACAAATATATTTATTTTTTATTATTTTTTATTACTCTGTGCCTCCAGACACAGGCAATAACTAGTCTTTATATAAAAAGCATTAAATAGTAACATAGCATGAAATCCAATGTTAAAGGTTGAAGTAAGGAGAAATCCAGAATATAATTTTAAAATATGGCTCAATCCAAATGCCCTGCAATATCATAAGACACACAGCAGGTAGTACCATCTTATTCTCACAACACTCTGCCTATTTTATGGTCAAATGTAGTAAAGCAGCAAAAAAGTGCTACTAAAAATTTAGTGTAAAATTACCAACCTATTAAAACAATGTAGTACAAAATTAATACCATGAATCGAAGCATCATAATAATACATACAGAAAAAAAGAGCTGTGTATAATAACAAGAGCTGTGTATAATAACAATTAAAAATCCCTCTAGAATAATAGAAAAAAAATGGCAAATTAAACCAAATAATTGTTTATATAGGTCTTACGGAATTCTTTCCCCTGAACTTGAGAGGTCATGTTCTTCTGTAGAAGGAGTCTCATCCACATCAGAAGAGTGCACACCACAATTTGAACTTGATTGATAATTGGACACTTTAAAATGTGCTTTCTCCAATGAATAACTAGTGATGTCAACATTGGCCAGTGCTTTGTGATTAGATTGCAATGCCTTACAACATCTGCATAGCTCAACCTCTTTCCAATAACTAACCTAGAAAAATTGTGAATTCGCCTTGAATTTTGTGGAGAAAATGCCCTTGTTGCTTCATTCACGGTGTTACATTCTCTACTTTTAGTTGCCATTCCGTTAGAGACCGCACCACCACCATATTGTGCCACCGCCATTATTATAAAGTTGTCTAAATTCTCCTTGGCAAAAAGAAAAAACATAAATCACTACCTATAATGAATCCATATGTCAATATTAAAACTTCACATACAGACAGTCACATTCTATATTGTTTTGCAAGAACAATTTGATGCATATGCATTAAACGAACACATTTGCAATCCCAAAGGGAGAAAACTGGGAATGTTAATACAATATTCAAAAAGTTAGTGTGGTTCATCTTTAATCAACCACCTCTCTGATACGATTCTCTGTGTGTGTGTGAGTGTTTGTATGGACACGTGAATACATAAAAAGGACAAAACAAATAAAACAATACAAACACAAACTATAAAGAAGGACAGAAACAGAAAGACCCATCGTGAGTAACCTTGAAGTCAACAACAAAGTCTATGATGAAGAGAGTTAGACATGCATTTTCAACAAGACAACCGATAGATTTTAGGGTTCGAATTCCGTCAAAAAAATGCATAAGAACAATGACGTTGAAAAAAAAAAAACCAAGATGAAATAAGAATTAGAAGAGAGAGAGAGAGAGAGATTACTTCTTCTTTTCCTTTTGTTTTCTCATTTTTTATGATGATAAGGAGTTGACTTGTTCTTTCTAGGGCTGTTAAAGGGAATTGGTGAGACCATATACTCAAAATGACTGAACTTTGAAAGGTGGTAAGCAAAAAGCATATACTTAAAAGACTGAAGTTTGAAAGGCGGTGCTTTCACTAAACCACCATCACGTATTCGGAAAGAAGTTGTTTTTGTAACTTGTATACCGCCACTTACAATCAAAGTTAAGAATAACAAGCTTGACCAAATTTATGATTTAATTTAATGACGTGATGGCATAATTTTATTTTTATAACATCGAAAATTTAAATTCGTACCTAAATTCGAGTAAAAATGAAATAAAAAACCCTAATTTTGTGCATTAAATTGTCATTTGTATTCTAGTCTAAATCGTCCGTCATTTATCTATGACCGTGTCCGTACAACAATGAATCTAATATATTACAATTACAAATACAAAAGTGAAATGGTAAGTAAAGCAACAATGGAAATAATGGATGTGGAGCACTAAGGTTGAAGTTTCTTTTGGTTATGTGCGTTCAAATTTCAACTGGTTAAGACATCATCGATTGTATTTTACGATTGCAGTTCATTAGCAATAAATAAGATTAGTACCGTACATTGTATATCTATATAATAAAATAACTAAGTGTTTGAAATTTTATCACATACATATTTTTTCTTTAAAATCATCACATCACTCGTTTCTATCACATGTTTAATTATTTAATATTTAATTAATTTTGTAATTTAACATATTTTTTATTTGAAACATTATTCATATACAATAATATATACATATTGAAAAAATTTGTTGGATTATATATTTTTGTCGATATTTTTACAAAAATAATGAGTAAAAAATAAATTTTAAATGATGTAATCAAATAAACGAAGGAAAGAAAAATTATTATTTAATATAGTGATATCAATATTTTAAACGTTTGAATTTTATGTTTTATTGTGCCTTTAGACACAAATTATGTATATTTTCTCATATAATTGATAGGACAACAATCAAATTATATAATTAATATAAGATTGATCTTAGTTTGTTGGTGAAGATTTTGAAATTGTAGAACAATTGTCAAATCATATTGTTTATGCATTCAATCAAACCAAATCATCTGCTGCAATGATTTTATATTTTTTATTAGTTGTTGAGAATACCCAATTTGATAGATCAACAATTAAACTATAAAATGACTGATGGTTGGTTAACAATAAGCCAATATACAGTTTTGTAATTTCATTAATTCACGCCAATAAATCTCAGGTTGGATTTTTTTAAATAAAATAATAAAATAAGATGAAAAATAAATGATAGAATTTTATACGTATTACTCTGTAATCTGCTAAAAATAAAAATAATAAATTAAAAAATGACTTTTTGATACTAAATTTTAACCCCTTAGTTACACATGAGAATTGTAAGTTAGATCTAATGATTTTATTAATCTATCATAATTGATTGATTGGTTATGTGTTTTTCTTGCTTCTACAAACATAGACGATTAATTTTAGAGAGTTGAAAAAAAAGTTAATCCATCAACTTTTTCATCTTTCTTATTTTTTTTTCTTATCAAATATGATATTTTATTTATCTCTCCAACTTTTTATCCTTCAAACTTTCTATCATTTTAGGTTTCAATAGTACCAAACGAAGCATTAAAGTATGGATACAGTTCCTATTTAATCCCTAGTGTTTCGATTTGTACAACTTAATCCTTAAAGTATTGATTGTATTTCCATAAAATGCTTTCGTCCATATTCATCCCAAACATCAACGTCGTATATTTTTCTCATTGTCTTCACTTACTACTCTAACCATATTTATATCATTGACTCTTACTTTTAACTTATATATGGTGAGGTAGACAATGTAGACATAGGTGTTGAGTGAGAAGGCCTTAGATCAAAAAATATTGAAAGTGAGATGAGTAAAAAAAATAAAAAAACAATTTTGATGACTTAATTGTAGATGAAATTAACTTTATTTTATGTGATAAAAGATATTTTCAAGTGGACTGCTCTTTCTTGGATTGGTATGTTTGGAGAAATAATCTATAATATAAAATAAAGTAAGTTTCAATAAACCCATTCGACGATTTCAAATAGTTTTATCCAACAGCCACCAATATCCTTCTCAAAACTATTCGTATTAGACCTTGTTTTCAAGCACGAGCTACCCCTAGTAAACAAAGAAGATACATTTCAACATAAATAATTAACTTTCCATCCACTTTCCTTTCAATTTTGGAGGGATTGATTTTGGTGAGTTAAAAATAAAGTTCATCTATCTACTTTTTTATTCTTTCTATTTTCCTTTCTTACCAAACATGATGTTTTATCTATCCCTTCAACTTTTCATCCTTCCAGAAATCACAAAAGCAATGGATTTCCGCCCTCATGGCTCCATGGGATTCCCTCCCATTCGAGAGGCTCTTCACTTACTGTCTCCTAAATCATCCATTCTTGTTAACAAATTAGTGCCTGCACACACAAAAATAAAACCCTTCAGATAATCAAGCAAGCTGGTTTTGGAAGTTATGAAGTGTTGATTCAAGAGCAAAGGAAGACAGTAAAGATGATGAAGGATAAGCTATAAAGAAAAATGTAGGTCACCCGTGGAGACCTCCTAAATCAAGCCATCAAAAGATATCGAACAGGATAAGTTCAATAACAAGAAAACACGTGATACTTCCGCCAATTCAGAAATCTGACTATTTGACTATTGAAAGGCAATTAAGCTTGACCATCCCAATATCCGCGGGCACTTGAGCTTTAAGTATTGTCATATTCTGATTATAACTAAATAACAAAAACCCACTAACCTCAATTCTCTTCCGATCCTTATGCAGGAACCACCATGGGCCACTCTTTGACATTAATCTAAAAAAGAAACATAAAATACAGTTAGCTATACGACACAAGAAATGGAGCAAGGCGCCATAATATCACAGACGCACTAGAATTTCAGAATCAAGAACTAGAACAAAATTCAAAATTTCCCAACTCTCCCTTTTTGGATTGTTGTGCATCTGAAAACTTTATCGAGCATGCCAACAAAACAAGCCCTTAATAATTAAAATTTGATACAGAAAATTTTGAACCCTAAGCATATATTGAAACTGTCGCCTCGTATTTCTTTCATATAATTTCACAAAGAAGCAATTCAATCAAAAACCTTTACGAATATACAACCTTTCTCATCTCCAACATTATCAACACTTGAAGTCAGTGAGGTTTTTTCTGAGACTAGGCTGGCAGAAATTTCTTACATAAAAATGGAAACTTGTCATAATGTTATCCAGTTTTCCTAAGCATATATCAAACAGTAACCTCAGACTATTTTAAAAGCCAATAGCAATATAAAACCTTTCCTATCTGCAATCTTACATCAAAACTTGAAGACGACTAGAAAGTTGAGGTTGTACAATAAGAAAACCTTTGAAAATGGCAGGCAGAGAAATTTCTTCAAATTGAAAAAAAAATTGCCATAATGTTATCCAGTTTACCTGATGTATCCTGCCACCGTTCGCAACCCCATAAAGAGAGTCAAGCCACACCAAAACACCGGGAAGACCAAAAATTGATGAGGCATACAGCGGAAACATGGAAGATATTGTCCCCACAAGCATCTAGAGTTCACTTCAATAATATTAATAGACACCCATATGCAATGCAATGCAACGCAACCCAATTAATGACGTGTCCAAACAGTTATTCGGCTTACCATAGAACGCGCAGCAAAAAGCGAATCCGAAGCACACAATGGAGGCCATCGAAAATAAAA